GGGGGGGGGGGGGGGGGGGGGGGGCGGTTCCCAGTGCGCTTGGCAGTGGACCTGTAAGTGCTTCTGGTCCATGTCCGCTGTGGAGCATGTGGGGGAATCCCCCTTGGCTTGGCGACTGGTGTCTCCTGGGTCTGGGGCGGCACCCGGGGTCCCTCCATGGCTGATCACCAAGTTGGGAGGGTCATAGGGGGTCCGCTGCTGAGCACAAGGGGGACTCCTGCACGCTTCTGTGGGACATGCCATCCACCCCAGCATTGCAGCGTTCACGAGCAGTGCCTGGTACCTTGAGGTCTGTAGAAAAATCATATAAAGCTGCATCTATGGCTGAATCGCTGATTCTCTGAATCAGAAACGAATCTTCAGATTTGGATTCGGCCAAATCGAATTGGGACAGTGATCTGAATCAATGGAACAAATCACAGTCCCCCGAATCGGACTGAATCCGAATTGAATACGGCCCGCTTTAAACACCCCTAGCACCCAGTATATAACAAACCAACATAATGAAGATGGAATTTTTAAGCAGCGCTCTGCATCAGTCCCCTCCACAACTTTTGTCAGTCCATCAAAGAAGACTGGTGAAATGTTTGTTTTACTAGGAGAGAAATGTACAGGGATAGAAAGAAGGCTGTAGAAGACATGCTGTTGGCCTCTTTCCCTGGCTGAGGGCAGAGATGAGAGGTAGGTCAGCATGGCAACAACCACCAAAAAATTATCTTGATGACAGAATTTGCCTCTTGGAGAAACAGGTTCTCTCCCTCTTGGCTTGTAATATTTAAGAATCCAACTATCCTTTGACAGATGAGCTCCTTTTTATTGAGCAACTTTTAAATATGAGCTTCATACTGTTTCATTCTCTTATTTTTCTAAAGTGTTTTAGATTCATTTTTAACTATGAGAGACTGTCACAAAAACAATGGCAAGGGCAGGCCTGCTTATCAGGAGCTGAGACAGTAGATGTCAGCAGAGACAGCTGTAGAGGGTGTGAGAGGAGTTGAACATCCATTCTCGGGACGGCACTCTAAAGGCTGTGCAGTTCTACGTTCTCACAACAAAGCTGCTTTGGGTTCAATACACACTGTGAGATATATTCTAGGTGTTTGCTTCAGTTCTATAGTAAGTCACCAGACTACTGCACTAGATTGAATAGTGAAATTTTCTGGATACTTAGTGGCACAGTCCACTTAAATTAGCTTACTAAGCCAAAAGTTCTCTCTCATTTTACCTTATTAACCTCTGTGGTTGTACATTTATAAAAAGCTGTAAAATACATGAAATAAAAACAAAACAATACAAGCCCACTCTGGAAAAAATAGAGGCTTTATTCAACACTCCTTCAATAATAGTCATTTTAAGGGATTGCTTTGAGCAATGGCAAGTTTAAAAACCAGATGTGTTATTTTTAAATGCAGGGTACCCCTTTGAATAGTTTGAACCCATTACATAAAGATTGCCAGTTTGACACGTGCATACATACACAAGTTAGCATCATCAAATAGAAATTTACAGTTTTATTTGAAATGTACCTATCAAGCAGAGTGCTCTCTCCCTCTCTCTCTTTTAAAGAAAAAGCCCTCTGGCACATCAATTGTTATGGCTTTTTGTACTGAACTGGAAAATGCATGCCATAGAGAGCAGAAATGCTGACTTCCCAGGTTTTAAATCCTAACTGCTTTTCTTAGTGAAGATGGCATTCCCCCCACCTCCCTATTCATTCTGTTTAGAAGGCAATGACAGAGATGTCCTTCAACCCGATAAAAAGTACTCGGCATGTGTAGCATTTGTGATGGTATCATCTGAAAGTGTAACCTTTGCTTTCATATGCTGTTTTTTCTTAGGCAGAACTAGGATGTAATATTAACACACAAAATACCCAGTTTAAGAAAAGGGGTCCCATATTACCAACGATCTAGTCTGGCAATTCTATTCACTAATGACTGATTCAGGTACAAATATACCTGAATTCATTCTGCTCTTCTGTTTCCTATTATAGGAATGTCAAGTTTGGCCAGGAGAATCTTTAAGAGGCAAGTGAAGTTTAGTAATGACAATAAAACCCTTTGAAACTGAGGCATTCTTAGATTATCAACAGGGATCCTGGTTTTCTCTGATTAAAAAAAAAATAAAAAAAAAAAATCACAAAATCTCCCAAATCTGTGATTAAAATTAAAGGTCCTCCACAGTCCCCCCAGCCCTGCTAGAGCCCCTCACTCCCCCCACACAGACCGCTGGCCCTGCTTGTGCCTCTCACCCCTCCTCCCCCACAGCTCTGCTGGTGCTTTTCACTCCTCCCCCAGAGCCCTGCTGGTGCCCCTTGCCACCCACCCTCAGCCCTACCCCCAGCCCTGCTGGAGGGGGCCCCCAGCTGCCAGGGCTACAGAGCCAGGGACCCGGGTCTGCAGTCCCCTGCCCCCAGTAGGAGGTGGTGGCTGCTGCAGCAGAGCGGAACCCAGCTCCCCCCTACTACCTGCTGCTGGTTTGGGCAGGGGAGGCCAGCTCCCTGCCAGGGCACACACTCCTGGGGAGCAGGGGGGACCCGTGCCCCCCCAGATCTGTGTGTGGGGCAGGGGCTGGGTGCGGGCTGCGTGTTCGGGCTCCTGCCCTGCTGTCGTCCTCCCCCAGGGCCTCTGCAGCCCAGCAATCACAACCCAGTGCAGCAGGGAACAGCAGACCATGCAAAACTACTTGATGCTGAGAGCTCCACACCCCCTGCATGTGTGCCTGCAGTGAAGGCAGCAGCATGGGGTCGCACCCCTCAGAGCTGCTGCGCACACAGGGGGCACATCACTAGGGCAGTGCAGAGCTCACAGTGACCAGCAGCTTCTCTGCGCAGCTCCACTGTTTCCCGCCATGCCGGGTTGCACCCACTGGGCTGCAGAGACCCTTGGGGAGGGGAGCAGGGCCAGAGTCCAAGCCTGCAGTAGGAAGCCTATGCCCACCCCCACCCCTGCCTCCACCCCACGCACAGATCTGGAGGGCGTGGGTCCTCCCTGTCCCCCGGAGGTGTGCACAGTGCTGGGGAGCCAACCCCAACCCCCAAACTAGCTGCTCATGACCCCATCCCTCTCCCTGCTGTGGCCCTGCAGTCACGCATTGCAGCCCTGGGCCCCAAACCCCATGCACTGTCTGGCTGGGCAGCAGTGCCAGTTCCAGCCCTAGCCCTGCCTAACCCTCTCCTTCCCT